CGGGGGGGGGCGTGTCTGGGTTTCTGTTGGGCCGCCTCGCCGGTCTTTTCTCCGAAGCGGGGTGGGGGGGTTGTCTTGCTGCCCCGGGTGCCAACAGAGAGCTGCCCCCCCCGCAGTGGTCGCCCTCCCCCCGGGACCTGCGTCGCGGACGACGGGCGCGCCATCGCGTTCCCGCGCGGTTGGCTCGAGTGCTGCTCCTCGGAAGGGAGTCCCGCTCTTTCTCTCTGGGGCAGCCTTTCCCCTCCTGGTTCCTCCCAGGGGGGTGGGATTTCGGCTTCCATCATCTCCCCCCGGTCCATCTGTTGTCCCCGGGTCGTAGGGGTTACTTTGAAGTAGACATGCATGATTGACTATGTGCCCTCAAGTCGTTTTCGACTCCCAGCGACCGCACAGATAGATTTTCTCCATGAAAATATGTTCTATATTACTTATGTAATAATAATACATTAATAGAATGAATTATGTATTGCCTATTATAAATATATATTTATTATTTGCTTAGAAGAGGCGTGAATGCCTTGGCTTTTCGCCCAGGCCTTTGGCGAGAGAGAGGGAGTCCCCTCACTTCATGCGCTTGACATCTTTTGTCTTTTTTATGTTTGATTGATTTTATTGTAATTTCTTTGTTTCATTGTGAGCCACCCAGAGGCATCATGAGTTGGGAAGCCTACAAGTTTAAATTAACAACAACACCAATAATATTAGTAAATATATATATATATTCGAGATCAGCTTTAATTGGCAGTATCCAAAAGATTTTTTAAATCTTGGATGAAGAAATCTCCGTGCAAAGTGACTGGATATTCCTTGTAAGCTCCGTGCAAGTTCTGGATATCAGTAAGACTTTCTTTTGGTGAAATGACTCCATACAAATTGTTGTTTTTTTTACAAAGCTTGCTAGTTATTAAGCTCCGTTAACATTGTATAGTGAAAGCCAGGAGCATACAGCAACATTGAAGAAGCGTTGCTATACAAAGTAGGTGAATGGGGAGCATGGCAACTGACAGGCATTGAACCAAGCAGTCACAGTAAGCAAAATTTACTTTTAGCTGAGGATGCTTGACCTCTATAACACAAAACTCCATAATTGAACCTATATTCTGCTCCCAAAAGGATGCTTTGCGCAGAAGTGACAAACTCAGCCAGGGAAGCTAACTGCAAAAATTGTTTTGCTTTTGGGAAGCTATTTCTAACTCCTATGCAGCACAAAACCACTAACATGGTTTTGTTAGAAGAAATGCAAATTGAGGAATCACATAAATGAGTCTGGCATGATCTTGTCTCACCTAAGAATATAAGGAGCATGTTTGCTTTATTAGCAACCCATTATATAAAAAGGGCAAGTTGAATTGGCAGCTTGTAAATAAACAAGATCATGAATGGAAAGAAAAATCAGCAAATATGTGGAATCAGTTTTGCACGGAAGTTTTAACCTCCAGTCTATCTAGTGCAGTCTGACCAGATTTTAAGTTAACTTTGTTTTCCTAGTTTGGATGACCAGCAAGACCAAATAAAGCACCCAAGATTAATCATTGGGTATTGTGGAGAGGGGGACAATCCTTATCTAGATTTCTAGATTGATGTGGCCAGTTCATCACAACCAGGAAGATACACTGTTTAGTCCTCTGACTCAGTTTCTGCCACCTTTGGCCTCTATGTGGATCCAAATGCTTCAAAAATTGCTTCTGGTGCCTTCACTATTAATTTGGAGAATGTTTCTTTTTCTGTTAAGCCATCTGCATCAGGGCAAAAAATTTTTACCTGTTTACCTGGTAAGGAAAAAAAGAACAAATGTTATGGCCCTGCAGTATTTTGCAAACTGCCTCTTCCATTCCTAGGCTCAGAGAATTCCATGACAATGCTTCCATCTCTTTTGACAGTTTCTTTAAAATAACATAAAAATGCACTGTGCCATTAGGAAGCCTTTAGGACCTCCATGTCAGTCTCCAAGAAATAGGATACAAGAGGTCTCCAGCAGTCTTGCGGAAGCCTTGAGGTTGTACCTTTCACAACATTTATTGTATCTTTTCTGCATTAGAAATACTTTGCTGAAGGATATTTCCTTCTAGCACTATAGAATTCAAGTGGTTTTATATATCACTGAATGCAAGATCTTTGCCCTAGATTTTTCAGGCAAGGATTTATATTTGTAAGGAGGAAGTTTTAGTTAATTATATAAAAGACCCAAGTACTTCCAGAGTTTTAAAAAAAGAATAATATTATAAATCCATGCTTAATCTCTGTGCAATATTTTAAAATTATCAGTAGGAATACAGTGACATGCTAGGTAGATAGTTTATTCATTGATTAGTTTTACGACCATATCCCAAAAATTAAATAAAGGTAAAATGCAAGGATAAAATAGGTAAAAGAAAATACAATAATAATGCATATGGGCTAAATATAAAGAATCAACGTTCAGATAAATATGTCACCTTTACACAATACCCCGATCTATTCAATATAATGGATTCTTACCTGAACTAACTTGTCTATAAACTTATCAGTTTATAGGATGAAATAGGACAATCTGTGATTCAGATCCCAGTGGGCTGTTTTTTCAAGTAGGGATTTTAAATATCTAAGCCTAATAGGGGCATATAGTTGACAATCAAATAAAACATGAGCAACATCTTTAATGGCTGGGGCAGACATGTGTTAGGTCTTCTGCTAAATTTTGTTCAGGGTTATAAAATGCAGAGGAGTCCATTGGAGTGCAGATTCTCTAATTCAGAGTTGTTCTCAACAGGCCACCAGTGGAGTTTGCAAAGTATGGGTGTCACATGGGCATACCAAGGCATGCCCATCACTGCCTGTGCTGTTGCATTCTGGAGCATTTGAAATTTCCAGGTGGTCTTCAATGGCAGCCTCATGTAGATGGTGTTGCACTAATTGGGCCATGAGGTGACTAAGACGTGAGTAACTGTCTGAAAGGCTTCCCAATCTAGAAAAGGGTGCAAATAGTGCAACAGATGAAGCTGTGCAAAGGTCTTCCTGGCCACAGCTGCCACCTGCTCACCGAGCAGGAGCTGTGATCCAGGAAGACCTCAGATTGCCCACCACCCTCAAATGGGGAAGTGCTACTCCATCCAAGGTTAAAGATGATAGGATTGAAATTGTAACTTCAAGGTTTTCATATATATATTGATGCAGACATTTGGGGGGATTTTTATGTGTATAGGGCAATCTGCCTGTGAGTGAAAAATACCCAAGGGAATGTATATGATTATAGAATAGCTACTGAGCACAGTACCTATTGTAATCAATATATATTTCTTTACATAAAAGGAACTCACAAATTATTGAACTTTATACAGAGATAGAAATACAGATAGAGATAAAGATAAAACACAGGAGACATGAACTTGTTACTGCTTTTCTTGGAGTGGTGCACATGAATTATTTGAGATGCTTGCTAAGGTCAGCACTATCATTAAGGACGTAAAAGCAGTTAACTTAGCTGCTGCTGCTGCATGGTGAGAAGACATCAGTACTTCCAGATCTCTGGCCATTCCCCCTGCTAAACAGCAGTAGTCTAGGCATCTTGCTGTCCCAAGAAGGCCTGTGGATCATTATTTGCACTGAAGTGAGATACAGCTGCCAGGCCATTTGGCTTCACTAGGAGGACCATCTAGAGAAGCATCTTGTCTTTCATCTCAGAAAGCAACATGTTTTGGTTTGGTGTGTCCTTTGTGTAGGGATTTCATCATTGCTCTATCCACATCAGGCCATTTATCTATGAGCAATGATCATGCAACGGGGGTAGGGGTAGGGATAGACAAGCTTTTGGTAGCAAGGGTCATACCTAACATTTGTGGGTGGAGCAATGAGCATATTGTTTCTAGTGTTGGATTTATTTATGTTTTTTCTGCTTCAAAATGGTGAGAAATTGTGCAACCAGTTTTCAACAGTAATGGTCAGAGATGGCTCTAGCAGCTATAAGTGGCCCTTGGACTGCAAGTTGCCCACATACTGGAGTAGTCTTTTCTGTCCATATTTTTTGTTCCTTATTAAGGATACAGAAGGGCAGGGTGTGTTGACAATGTTGGGATAGATCTGCTACTTCCTCAATTACTAAATCACTGCATTCTCCTGCAGGGCTTGCCTTTTCCACTGTGCTTTAAGAATGAATATATGAAATAGCAGTTTCCAGGCAAAACAGAACCATTGTAGAAACAGAAAGCAAGTATCTCTCAGTCTCAAGGCCATTAAGAGAATGCAACCATTTCAAAGGTTTACTACACAGATGCTTGTTTTTCTGTCATACACAATATCACATGACATATATAGTTCAGGGTATCGTTTATCCCAGACATATGATCAGTTATTGTAATGTAAGGTTTAACAAGGGTTGATACATACAAGCATACTGTATGTAGAAGAGTCCAATTCAGTAGAGGATGCCTAATGGGAGAAGATGGCTGGAAGCAAAGCAATCTTTGGATTATAGATATACTATATTTGCCACTTCTTTAACACCTTCTTAAATGTGTATTGTGAGCCTACGTGGCTACAGTGTGAACTCAGGAAAAGGCTCCTTGGAGGAGCCTCAAAAGATACAGTGAGGATTCCCATGTTGGATCTGAAGTACCTTTGCCTCGTTCATATCCAAATACTGCATACCTCTGGTTTAGCTGATTTGTAATTGAATTGTTTTGAGCTGTTGCTTCTTGGGATGGAAACAGCAAAGAGGATGGGTAGTGATAAGTTTTTTCTTGTGGTTTTTAGAGCCAAGAATAAGACTGAGATGGTGGGGGAAAGACCAATCTACTACACTTGATCTTACCCAAAGATCAAGAAGCGAGTTATCTGTTTCTGTACAAAGACTGCCAATAAGGGGACT